GTGCCAGGGATGGCTGTGGCAGGGCAGAGGGCTGTGTCCCTGCCTGCCCCGTGCTGTGGTGCCGGGGCTGGCCGTGCAGTTCTGCAGCAGGCAGGGCGCGCGGGGTTTCCCTCTTTCTCAGGGTACCTTCAGCTAATTTGGCTCGTCTGCGGCCCAGTCTTTTCTAAAGAGCCCAAGCTTTAGATGAAAATGCAGGCAGAAAGGAACTGCAGTAAAAGTACTTGTACTACTAGTTCATCCTATGATTAATAGCAAGACTTGCTTAGAAGTTAGTCTTTGATTTCCTCTGTTTAATTGTAGCCCTAAGTGAAATGGGTTTTTGATTTATAGAAAATGCAAAATTGGGTACAGAAAGTTTTAAATTACAGTAATAGTAAAAAATTTCCCACAATACTCATCCCATATTGTTTCAATTCAAAAGAGCTAAGGCTTGATTTGTGTGGGAAAGAATCCATAGCAGCCAAGTTCCACATTTGAAACTGGGGAGAGGGGAGGATCAATTACCCTCTTTTGAGGATATAAAAATATGCCTGAACTTCACTATGTGATACTTTTATCATATATTCCCTCTCTGGAAGGTTGCATGATGATTAATTAATTTAGAATAGCTGTTTTCTTACATGAGTACCATGAAAAAGCAAGCTAGAAACTTTGTATTAGAATATATGAGAACATTGGTTTTAAAAGCAGAAGCTTTAGGAACAGCGATGGCTCGTAATCATGATGAAAAACTAATCTATATTTTTATAATTACTTGCCTTGTGCAGAACGGTTCAGTATACCATGAGAGTTTGAAAAGCCATAGTGCAATAACTGCAGTAGCTTTAATAATGGCAGTTTAATTCTTAAACTGCTTTTTGGAAGTCCTGCACGGCTGATCTCACTTGTGCTGCACCATATTTATGTTGACTTTTTCTTTCATTAGACCACAATGTCTGTGTGTGTTTACAGCACTAATCCTAAATGTTGACATTCTGGCTAGTTAAAATATATTCAGTATCACTGAAGCTATTCTGGGGGAAGTGGCTTTGCTTTAGCAGGGTGACACCAAATGCTGCTTTGTTTACAGGGGTAAATGCTGAAAAACACTGATCTGACCTATGAGGGTTTGCATGTGTGTTCCTGAGAATAGAGTTTGGGCCTTTTGTGTTTGCTGGTTTGTGTACCAAAATACAGTTTAAAATAATTTGGAAAATAATATTGAAAATAATATTGCACTTGTTATTCTGGTGGCCAACATGATTTTTTTTTTTAAATCCTGCTTCACAGTCTCTTCTAACATACAGTTTTTATTCGGAACACACGGAATTTACAGTTTTAATATAAAATGCTGCTTCTATTCTATTTAATTTGGCATGACCAAATGTAAAATCTAACCATAATGCACAGTATTGATCCATTTATAAGCATTTTTAAATTGTACTGCACGTCTTGGATAATTTATTGTAGTAGGATTTTAAAGTCAGGTAAGCTCTGCATTTGTGCTATAGCCTGACAGTTTAATCAAGATACAAATTTAGAAACAAATCAGCACTGTCTTTTATATAGTGCCTCTAAATCCATGGTAATTGGTACCAGACCTCGGGAACAGGGAAGGATCGCAGTTCCATGCTACCAATACCAGTGGGTGTTGCTCCACAGCTGCATCATATAAGAAGGGAAGATGCAAGAGAAATTAAAGGATCCCCACATGCATTTTTCTGTAATGTACCTTTTGCAGAGTCCGAGGCTGATGGAAAATTCCCTTGAATCCAGTGTGTTAGAGGGCTGTAAATAGTGCCATATGTTCTGCACGCTTTAACTCCTACCTTTGGAGAGCACGGGGCACTTCTTGAGTCAGCTTTCTTTACTTTGTAGTTTCGAAACATTTAAAAAACCCTGAAAGCTTGAATTTCACCAGCTCAGGGAGGGGAGAATCCACGTGCTGCTGGTGTGTTCCCTGGCTCCCTGGGCTCCCTGCAGAGGCCTGTTCCGGGGGGCTCAGGCTGGGCACAGGTTGGTCCCTGCACACCCGGGAGTGGATCCGAGCTATAGGCTGAGCTTGTGTGCTCTGGCAGCACAGATGGAGTGTGCTGTCATTAGGGCTGTTTGTTGCCTGTTGGAACACACAGCATATTTCTACCGTGGCATCAACAGTTTCTAAGAACTGAGGTCAAAATAAACAGGTTGCAGTTGGATACAGGAACAGTCTGGGAAACAACTTAAAATTCCCCGCTTAGGCATTACCGTATTCCTGGATCGTGGATCAAAAGGCAGGGCTTTCAGCAGGGGCTGCTCTGGATTTCTGCTGCTGAGTGCAGACCCTCGTGGAGTTGCAGGGGTACACTCCGTAAGTGTTTTAGAGAGATCGGTGCAGGTGTGCAGAAATGACCTTAATTTAAATAAAGAAGCAAATTCAAGCACAATAATTCCACGCTGTTTCTCTTAGTCTTTGTAGTACTTGAGCCAAGTGGAAGTGATGTCCTGGTGCCCATTTGAAAAGGGCATATTTCAGTTAGAACTCGGGCTCCACTGCAGGTGTGGGTGGCACTGAAGGCGACAGGGCTCTGTGCAGGACTGACAGCCTCTGGCAAACCCTCTGGAAGTGGTTGGAATTGCTGCTGCCCCAGCCTCCCCACTCCACCCCGTTCCTGGGCATTGGGGCTCCCTCAGCAGAGCCTGTGAGGGGAGCCTGTGCCCACACCTGAGCTGCTTCGTGTCCCCCCCACAGGTCCAGCTGGAGCCCTTGGAAGCGCGTCACTCCCTGCGGAGCTGCTGCGCCATTCCCGAGGCCTGCGGATCCAGCGTGGAGAGCCCCATCTCCAGCAGCCACCCAGGGAAAAGGGACTTCAGTGTGGGACAGAGCTCAGATGTCAGTGCCCCTTCCGCCATGGGTAAGTACTCACCGCATCAGATTGCAGGTGATTGCTGGCCCCAGGGACATGAGTGGAGTTTTAACCAGGGATATCAGTGAAAGCAGGGGTTCATTTGTAGTGTTTAAAAAACCAGCAAACTTTTACTTAACAGGACAAATACAGGGGATGATTTTGGCTTGAGAGAGCTGTAAGTAGATTTGTTTCCTGACAGAATCAGCAACAGTCACTTGGAAAGGTTTACTCATATTTACCTGGTCACAGTTGGTTTACAGCCATTGGAACTATCTCCCGCTTGTTGGGCTGCAAACACACAGAGGCACAGCAAGCCACTAGATGTTAGAAAATATTCTCATGGGTTTACTTCGAAAATGTTCTCATGGGGTTTTGTTGGGGTTTTTTTTGGTGGGAGGATTAAATGTAACTCTAGTTTCAGTGGTTAAAATTAAAAAACAAGGTTATTTTTTCCTTTTCAGAAGTGGAACATTATTGAGCTGTATGGCATGCATAACAGTAAATAGTTAATACAGATATGAGCAGTGAAGTAGGGAAAAGAGGTGTCAAGAGAATGAAGAAAATTTAGAAGACTAATATGGAAAGATGTGTTTAATTCTTTTAAGAGTGAAAAAGAAAGCCTTCCCGTATTCTTTGTTGCTTCCAGTTTATTGCTGTTGCCATTCTTACTTGCCATGTCATGAGGAGTTCAGTGGTCTGTATTAAAACCAGAGTAGTAATATTGTCATCCCTTCCTTTCCATGTGCTCCTTCCGCCACGGTGACAGGGAAACAGCACTCCTAGAAAACTCTCTTTATTGACTGATCTTACTGTCTCCACCAGGTTTTCTTGGCTCTTGCTATGCCCCTGCACACAGTCTGTGTGTAACCACGTGCCTTTCCATCCTTTGCCCCCTTCCTCCTCTGCCCTGCTGGCAGCAGCTGCTGAGGCTGCAGCCCCTGGTGCCCGAGCTGGGCACACTCTCCTCCCCCTGCTTTGGAGTTGGCTCTCGGCGCCCGCTGCAGATGGTCTGTACCTCATACATAATAAAGAGGTTTTTTCCTTCTGAGGAGGGTTTCTGTGAATGTGAGAGGCAGACAGTCTGGCAAGCTCAGACCTGTGTTTTTATATTTTTTTCTAAGTGAGCCTTGAGGGATGTGTTTGCCATAGTTTGGAACCCCTTAATAGCTAATGGAGCTCAGTAGTATTTTGGTGCCACAAGTAGGAACCTGATTTGTCCACTTGATGTTTTCTTAGGGGAAATTACATACATAGGCAAAATGAAGTTAGGGCCCAGCTGGACAAGACAAAGAAATTAAGCAGAGGCATTCCAGGAATTAAAGTGGTTGCTTTAGGAAGGTGGTCTTCTAATAAAGGTATGATAGGTTTGTGCTAGCTGTGTTTGGGACTTGCTTTGGGGTAGGCTCTTAGAGGTGTGTATTTCTTACTAGTCCTAGTAAATGTTTTCCAATGAGTTCGCTCTGCACTGCTTTTAGACTTGAGTAATAAATTCTTGGTACCAAAATGTCCCCAGGACCTCATGTAAGAGCCAGATGAACATTTTCAAATGTCAGATGGTTTGGGTTCTAGGTAGCTCAACACTTTTCAGTTCCTTCGTGTGGTGCTGTGTTGGTAGGGTCACACTCAGCACTCCAGGAGCCATAAAAACAGGCACATGTGGAGAGTTCTGCTTCATGGGCCAGGCTCTGATTTTCTATTCTGCATGGAAGCTGCCTGCCTGCACAGGGCTGTTCTTGATCTCTGCAGTTTGCTTTGGGAGCTGAAAATGTACAACATGTGCAGGAAGAAAATAGTGGAAATACACTTATACCAGCACTTTTACCAGCTGATTTGACTCCCATGAGAAAGGATATGTCAAGGTCAGATATGGGGTTGCATGTTTCAAAAGATAAGAGAAAAATGTCCTGAACGAAGTTGGAGTTTGTTCATGATGAGGAAGAGTTTTTTCCAGGTATTTCACTCCTCTGTTTTTCATGTTAGCACAGTCCAAAACTGACTTGCAGTTTTTGGACTGTGCAGTATTTGCTAAAGTACTTTATGTGTCTGAAACTGCCAGCTCCTATAAGAAAAAAACCCCACTGGTGTCAGATAAGACACTTTCCCAGGGCCTGAAGGGTGTCAGAGTAAGGGGCTCTAAGGAGTGAGCAGAGCAAATAAAACCCTCTGAGAAGAGACAGGCTCCAGAGAAGATGTTACTTAGACAGCAGTGGTCAGCAGCACAGGGTGGTCACAGACTCATCCTCCAGGCTGGAAGGGGCCTCAGGAGGCATCTCGTGCAGCCTCCTGCTCAAAGCAGGGTCGGCCCCGGGATCAGACCAGGCTGCTCAAGGCTTCATCCAGTTGGATCATGAAAGCCTCAGAGCGTGGAGACTGCACATCCTCCCTGTGCAGCCCCTTCCATTGCTTGACTGACTTTTTGAGCTGCTAGGATACATGTTTCAAGCATAGAACATGAGGGTTAGAGATATACTTAGTCTTAAAAATTGTTAAGTGTCGTGTAATTGCATAACTGCAGAAGCTGAGGCTTTAAGAACAATACTGAATATCATGAAATTTGTGATTTGATTTTAAAATTAAGCAACATCTATAAGATAAAGAGTCTGCTGCTTTTGTAAAGCAAATGTTCATCTAAGAAGGGTTTTTTCAAATAGTGAACCATATCTGTAAAGTTCTGAAATGATAGCTGCTATTATGTGCTCCTCTGCTTGGCACAGTAATTAAAGTATACATTAATGCTCTGAGACACGTGTTTAGAAGTATGGATTGAAATTAATCACCCTGCCACTATAGAAATTGCTTGCTGAGTCCAACAGCATATGTGTTGCTATAGAAAGTTGGTGTTCATGTATTCTGCATGGGCACCGTTAAATCTAATATTTCATATGTTTTATTAAGTATAATTTAAATATAAAAAGACACTTAATTGTATTAAAGATATGTCGGGGTTATTTACATATTGAACTGGTCTGGGACAGGTGTTTTTAAAGGTAAATCTTGCACTGTAACAACCACTAAGGATTAAATTGTCAAGCTACTCATGCTGCTCAGGGGGTCATTGAGGTGTCCGCAGGCATCTGTGTGAGCGGGGCAGTGGGAATTCTGCCTCTGCAGGGGGGGCTCACCCCAGCCGGGTTTGCACATCCACGCTGCCCTTGGGGGGAGTCCCTGGGGAGCACCGGGCACGGCCCTCAGCGCTGCAGGGTGGGTTTGTGCCGGGCTGAGCTCCCGGGCACGGCCACTGATGGGTTCAGCCTTAGGTTTGAGTGCCGCTGTGTCCCCGGGGAGCTGTGTGCGCTGCTCCGTGTGCCGCTGCTCCTGCAGGGACACTGCAGGCTCCGCGCTAAGGGCGTCGCTCCGCGCAGCGCGATCCCACGGCTCGGGGACGGCGAGAGGGGAGCATCGAGCAGGAGAAGGACACAAGGAGAACAGAGTCACTGTCTGGGGAACTGTTTGGGAATTGCTGCCCTTGCCAAGTTAAAATGTGTGCACAAAAAATGTCTTGTTCTTCCCTGCCTATGCTCCAACATAGGGCCCAGTTAAAAAATGGATGTTTTTGTGGAAGTCCAACTTGTAGATGCTCGCTGGTGTACACACCTCTTAGCGTGTTCAAGATCTAAATGCAGTGTTCAGGCAGCCTTTCTTTTACAGCTAATATTGATATGCTGCCCCAGAGTTACAAAAACAGAGAAAAGAAAACCCTGACAGACATTTTGTGCTTCACTTGATACATATTTGCATATTTCTGCATGGTGAAAGTTGTTTTTTTAAATTATTTTTGCAGCCTATCAGCCTGGATGTAGTCGCCCTGTCAGAAGTATGAAATTTACAGCAGAAGAATTAATTTAACACCAAAAAAGCTCTTCCTCATCTGAACTGTCATTCAAAATGCACAATGAAAATCACCAAGGAGAAGTTTTCTGTCCCACTGTCTGCAGGACTCCTGGAAGAATCTTCTGAAACTTGAGGTAAGTTTTAGAGAAAAAGAGCAAACAGCTGAGCTGTAAAGTAGAAGCTGATGCGAAGGTGTAATTTAGGGCAGAGAAGATCCTGTGTGTGCACTGGTCTCTCTGCTGAGATATCTGTAGGAGGAATGGCATGTGAGAAAATTTCAGTGCAATATTTGTTTAAGTAATCAAAGCAGAAAGAATAAGCCTAAGTTTACCACCAGGATTGAATAATATATGTATATATTTGAAGGAATTGCTTAGTATTTAAAAATGAAAGCTCGTATTATATTTTCTTTATTCTTTTGAAAATATATGTCAAAGTACAGAAATGTTTAACTACGAAAAAGAAGTGATAGTGTAAGCAGGACAAGTAGGAACCGCTGAGTAGGACAATGCATTTTGGCTTGGTTAGCTCCTGAGAAATGGCTGCAATATTTGCACTGTGTTCAGTTAATGCCATTGCCTTGTCCTTAGTGGTTTTGTTTTGCATTCAGCAGTGGTATCCATTCTCTTACATTTGGTGAATTAAATTCTTCCACTGTATTTCCTTATTGCTCTGTCAATGTAGTACAGGTGGTTAGGGTGTCATCGGGATCCCTTCTCCATCACTGTGGTCGTGGGATTTTGTATGGAGCATTTTCCAGAGGCTATCAGTATGTTCTATTATACAGGACTCCTTTTCTCCTGCTTCTGTCTCAGATCCTAGATGTAACTAAAATTCATGCCAGAACCCTTGCTCTCTCAGTGCTGGGCACAGTCATTAGTGGTGCAAGGGTTCACATCCAGGGCAGTATGGTGCTGCTGATGACAAGTAATGGAAAGCTCACTTTATAGCCTTAGGAGTTTGGCCGGGGCATACAAACAATTATTTTACATTTGTTTATAGTCAGACAAGTTTGCAAGTAAGACAGTAACAGGCATAAGTGTTCTTGCAGCCTTTGCAGCTCCTCTTTCTTGTTAGCATCAAAGAGAATATTTGTGATAGGATGCATTAGGAGTCAGTAATAAGTGTGGGGGAATCAACAGCATGGAGATTTATTTATGTGTTAGCTCTGGTTATCCCCTATCCTCCCATGATGTGTGCCTTTGCAGGACAGGCAAAGCATGCATGTTTTCCTTGTCTGCTCTCCCTCCAAATGCTGGAGGATGAGAAGGATAGCTGGGCACTGGTGCCACTCTGTGCCCCCAGAGCACCAGAGGCATTAAGGAGCACAGAGCCTTATGTAAGCATGACATCAGTGCCTTATTTCTGGCAGTGACTAGTATAAATTACCCCTGGAGATGGATCCCTCGTGCTGCTCTGCAGCCTGCATGACCCCCCTGTGCATTGCATCAGGAACGGGAGAAGCTTCCCGGGAATCCTGGCCCGGGGGATCTTGGTTTGTTCTGCATAGGAAGCGTGTATGTGGGTGAACATATGTGTTGCATACATGTGTAAATATGTGAAGTGGCTTGGATTGCCTGTGTCTGGGGGCAAAGCCTCATGTGGGACAGACCTGTAACTTTGGGGGTTGTGCATGTTTTGTGTCAGCTCTGAGGCAGTTGAGATCAGCTGAAATGTCAGTCCTAGGGGGTCACTGCTGGGTAAGAGAGAGTTGCCATGATCCCAGTTTCTCTGAGGGCCCTTGGGGTCTATGATTGGATTCCTCTCACAGCTTGGTCCAAGCCAGCATGTGTTTGTTGGCTGTAAAGCCCATTTATCTGATGCTTTCACCTGGGGATGCCAGTCTGGGGCTGTGCAGATCTGCTGAAAAGGTACTTGAGGGTTGGGACTTTCAAGACCTTAAATGACTGTATAGAAAGATAACTTCTATTGAGGAAATGTTAACCCTTTGCTCATGTCTGTCTTTTTTTATGTCTTTCATTGTGTGCCAGTGGTGCTGAAAAACTGAGATTTGGGTGTCCATATATTTTATACTGAATTTAAAACATAAACACCTCACCATAAGAATATTCTTATAAAAAGTGGAGAGATAGAGAGAGAGAAATCAGTTAAGAGGTGGTTGTTCTTATTAAGAAAACAGTGAGTTATTATTGCTACCTCTGACATACATAAGTCTGGTAATACATATATCTCTTTAGGACTTGACCTCAGAATAAATTTCAAGATCAGAAACTAAATTAAAATCTTCCAAAACTTGATCCTCATGTATTTTTAAGGAAGTTATCTATTCCAAGAACTCTAATATACAAAGTCTTGTTAAGGTTAAAGTCTCTGCAGGCTGAAGTTCATTTTTTGAAGAAGAAACACAGTTAACAGTAAAATCAGGTAACACCCAATGATATTGCAACAACTAGTTAATTAGAATAAATTTGTAGTGAGAACATCTTCAATGTATACAGAAATACTAGCTTCTCTTTTTATTGGTGTGTTGATACACAACTTTCTCAGTAATAATATACCTTATTTTGGGAAAAAACTAACCTTTGTGTCTTCACTAACAAACACTGAATACTCTTCTGACTGTTCTCTCCTTCTGTTGGTTCTCACGTGTTCATGTGAGAATTTTTTGACTCATACTTTAAAAGTATTTTAATACTCAGTAAACCTTCTTTCAAATACCCTTGCTCTGGAAACTGTCAGAGGGAGGAAGAGCCGTTCTCCCGTGCTTCCCATGTCCTGGGTGTGTGCAGTGACTCTGGCAGCTGATGCTGCATTGCTCCAGACAGAAACAGAAGGAGAAATCAGTCAATCTGGCCTTGTATTACCTGTTGCAAAGTGAGAAATGAGGCATTTTAAAATCAGCTGCAAACCCAGAATCCAATGTGGTTTGCTCACTTGTGCTCTGTCAGTTCTGGCCCCAGGAGTGTGGTGTTGTCAAACCCAGCCCAGGGGAAGGGCTGGCCCCGGGCCCATTCATTTGCTGCAGAGTTATTTGGATGTGTTGAGATAAAGAAGGAGGTTTTGGTTGTGTGGAATTCTGTTTTTCCCTGAGCTGCAGAAAGCAGATTCCCTTGTACACAGATGACCTTAACTGGGCTGGTGAGCCATGAGTCCAGGAAAGGGACAGTGCCATTTGAGCACTCTGCTCTCTTTGGAAGAGCTTCCCAAATCCCAGGCAAGGCTGGGCCTCCTGAGATGGTTGGTGTTATCAGGGCAGACATCTACAAAACTGGGTTCAAGCACTTATCTGGCCTCTCTGCTCTTTTTTTTATTTAGAATTTCAGTTCTCTGGAGTATCATTGGACAAGGAAATGGTGTGTCCACAAAGTTCAGATTTAGTAAACTGATAACAATAACAATAAACAATTAATTACTGTGAAAAAGAGCATGAAAGAATAAATATTTTTAAATGTATTTTAGATTTAAATGTAGCAACTGTGCAGTATATTATTCTCAAGCTCTGAAATGAGGTGCTGGGACTGACATAACCTGCCCTGAGTATTCCCTGGGTTAAAAATTCCTGCTGTTTGGATTCTGTCATGAAATGGTTGGCATCCCAGCAGTCGTGACAAGTGTATAAGTTGGCAAGGAATTAAAAATGGTGGTGCCTCTGAAGTTTAGCAGGAGGTTTCCTGCCTGGGGATGGCAGGCAGTTGTAGCTGTTGCTAATACCATTCCCTTGTCTGTGTAGCAGCTCATTTCTGAAACAAAGCAAGCTTGGGCACGTGTTCCACTTTGTCTTAGGAACTGCTACGTTTGGTTTTCTTGGAGTGTTTTCAGACACTGGAGTTTTCATGTGCCCACTTCTCTTTTTTTTCTTGTTGTTTTGTTAATAAATTAAATCTGACTACAAGATCCCTCTGCCTCTAAACTGCAGTAAGGGCTGCTTGAAAAAGCATGAGCCTCCTAAAATTTTTACCCTCAAGAGGAAATAACTGATTTTTTTGTTTGTCTTTGATCCAGTCGCATCAATGTAATTTTCCTCTTCAAACAATTGAGCCTGCAGTTCATTATGGTGCAAGACCGGAACCCTTCTATTACCTTATTTTTAGCAACAATTACATTAAGCCTGAAAGTTGCATTTGCGAAAAGAAAGGCTCTGTGCTCTCAAAGCTTGCTGTGGCTGAGCCCCCGAGAGAGGCAGTGGCAGATTGAAGCCCAGCACCTCTGTGGTGCTGGGAGAGGAGCAGCTGGATGGGGATGAGGGTCCTGTGCTGCTGGGGCTCGGGGTTTTCTGTGTGGCCGAGTGGAGGAGCGGTGCCCTCGCAGAGCCATTTCCAGCCTGGTGTCTGTTTGCAGGACTGTCCCTTGCTCTCCTCCAGGCTCTCCAGGAGCTGTTAGTGCTCTGAGTGCCCTGAGGGTGCTGTGTCAGCCCTGGGGCCGTGTGGGACCCCCGTGGAAGCGCTGCCTGTGCTGTGGATCTCAGTGCCCTTCTGCCCCCAGCACCAGGGAGCACCGTGGTGATGCCAGGCCAGTGCATCCCTGGAGGGCACTCAGTGGAGCTCCTGAGCCTGGCACAGCCAGGAGCTCTGCAGGGCTCTGCTCCTGCAGGCTTAGCATCTTCCCAGAGCACAGCCTCGGGCTTCTTCACAGCTTATGTACTTGATTAAAACATCATTTCCCTTCAGCTTATGGAGCTTAGAAGCTCTTAGAGGCATGAATTAATGGAGAGACAGGTTGTGTCTGCTGTGGAGTTGAGGAGCTGTGCTTCAGAGGAGAAAAATCATTCTGCCAGGTTATTTGTTAGGGTCAAGCATTGCTTCCAGAATTTTTCCAGTAAGAGTGTTTATGTGCAATTGGGACTGACTGACAGCATCACTTCTTCTTAGGAAACGGGCCATTAGAGAATGTTGTAGTTTTCCTAAACATGGCCCTTGGAAGTCTAGGAAGAGAAAGGCACTGCTGAGGCAGGAGGGAGGTGAGGGAGAACACTGCATGAGAGTTGGAGGTGTCTGCCAAGCTTGAGAGAACAACCTCCTGTCACAGTGGCTGTGGCAACCCGGCTGGAACTTGGAAAGAGGAACATTGTTCCAAACATTGGATATTTTACTCTCATTGTACCTGATTGAAATATCCACACATTGCAGGAAGTAAAGCTCTCTAAATACCCATATTAAAGTTCACTGCAAAAATATGGAACCTTCATGTTATTTACCTAACATACTGTGCATGGAAACGTGGTTAGCATCCAGCAGGCTGAGACCCACAGACAGGAAAAAATCTGATTAATAGCACCAAGAAATGGGCAGAGTAACCCCCTGCAAGGAACCAGAGCCCTCGGAATGCAAAACTGCCAGGCCAGGAAGATTTGAGGCGCATGTGGAAGAGCTGTGTCTGTATATGAGCCTGACAAAGGGAATAAAAATGACAGAGTGAAGGTACAGCTTTATGTTTTCACAGGATGAAACGGAAGAGTGAAACAAAATTGCCAGGAATGAATATACAAACCCTGAAAGAACTGGGGAAAATATTTGAGGAGAATGTACAGGAGGCAGCAGAGGAATACTTTTCTCCAAATCCCACAAGCAAGAAATAGAGAAGAGCATAGATGCTTGCATCGTATTGCAGAAAGTTCTGGCGTGCACATGTACATTAGAGACATAAAAGATCTCCTAATTAGAGACAGGATCATTTGTGGGACATGTGATTCCAGTTTATAGGAGGAATTGCTGAAATAAAGACATCCAACCCTAAAGGAATGAATCAAAGAACAAGAGCAGCTGAACTGTCCAGGGAAAGGAGCAAAACGGCGACCACTCGTACAGGGCACAGACTGTGCTTAGGATGAATCCAGGAGACAGGGAAGAGATGGCTTGGGAGGGATGAACCTGAGAGCAGGGCACAGAGGGGCAGTGCCATTTGGGGCTGCTGGGAACGGGGCCACAAGGGTTCATTCACCAGCAGTGGTGTCTGGCTGGTGCCTCGCGGGCTCTCCCTCCTTGGCAGGGACGGGGGGGGCAGAAGGAAGAACGCCCAACCAGGTGTGGTGGGGCAGCAGCAAGGTGGAAACCTGCTCTGTCTGAGCAGAACAGGAAGCAGCAGGCTGGTCTGGAGCTCAGTATGCCTGAAGGAATAGGAAATCAAGCTGGCAGCCTTTAGGTGTCTCTGGGTTAGCAACCTCTGCTCAGTCACCAAATGCTGCATGAAAAGCAGAACTGTCAAAGGAAAGCTGGAGTGACCTGTCTGCACTTCCGAGAGAGGAGAAGCAGGAAGATAATGTTTGCAAGAGGCACCAGGAAGTTAATCTGTCTGAGCATGACCTGAATGTTACCCCATTTTTTTTGTTTCTCTACGCCGTTCTCTAAAGAAAAGCCAATTATTTTTCAGAAGAATAGGGGCCTCTCATGTTGTTATTCATCATGTGGCACATGAAACACCAACACTAACTCCCAAACTGCGAGTTAACCTTGTCCTTTCATCACGTATGGTCAGCTCATCACCAGGCTGGTGACTGCTCAAAGCTGCCTCAAAGTGGTTGGGCCCCAGACAACTGAACTTTTATGCATCAGTACAAAAGCAGCAGAGAAGATGAGAAGGAAAACTTGATTGTCCCAAGGGATGCAGCGGAGTGGTTTGAGTAGTCCTGCCTAGAAAGTCACTTGTGGCTTTTATAATAAGGAACTTAAGGTTTGAATTTTCAGACTTATTAGCTGTACATTTGTTTGTTTTTTATTAACTTAATATACTATGTGCCACATTTTCCTTGGGGTATTGAGTCAAGTGATGGATTCATCCAGTTTAGCTCTAAATGCGTGGGCTCTCTTTTTCATAAAACTTTGAAGAGATTTGGGTCTCAAATTTCCAGAATGATTTTATTTTCTGCCTGTATATTTTGGTACAGCAGCTAATGTTTTCTGTCCTGTTTCCTCTCTGAGAATACGTGCTTCTGGCTAATGTAGGGAGGGAATGTAGATTTTGTTTGTTCTCTTTCTTGACCCGTGAGAATTAGAGTTGTCTTCTTATATGAGCAGACACAGTTAAACCACTTTAGTCTACAAAAGAGTCACTGCAAGTTTTCAATCCCCTAGCTCTCTGCTTCAATGGAAAGAAAAACAGGTTTTAAAAAGTCTGAGAAAGATATGGCTATTAAGCTAATCCAGTATACTTCATCTAGCTGCTAAAAATCTTGACTGTTAAAAGTGATTAAATGTAATTGCATCAGTAAAGGTGGTGTAAAAAAACCCCTGAGTTTCATTAGAAGCTATCTTTAGGAAACCCTGATTCCTTGACTTACTCAGTTACATATAACATTGCTGTTTTATTTTGAGAGTGCTTTGAAGGTTTCTTAAACCCAGGGTTATATAGAAAGAATAAATAAAACCCAACAGGACAAATACACAGTTCTGAAGTATTCTTCTAGGTTTCATTATATATCTGCAGTGCATGTGCTTTATTCAAAAAGAAAATTGGGCACAAAACTGAAAAGTTAATGGATAAATATTCAACTGCCTTAAAGAGCTGACCAAATAATAAAGATATTTGGAATAAAAAACCAAATTAACAAACCACCACCTGTGTGGTGGATAAAATTGTCATAAGATGGAATGGGAGGACTCCCAGTAATTTCAGGTAAAGCTATTGAATTATTTTTTTTTATATTCTTCAGTTTGAAAATGAATCTATTCGTTATTTTAAGAGCTGAAAAACAAAGTTGCCGAACTTTTTTTCGTTTTCATATCTTTAAAATCTGAGGTGTTTCATGTCTATAACACTGCACAGTATTTATAGAGAATTTAAAATTTCTCCAAGTTATGCTGTCTGAAAAAACTCTCCTAGACAGTAAGATATTAACAAATTCATCAGTTCTGGTCTAATGCAGAACACCACGTGCTGTTTTGTGTCCTTGGAGCTGAACTGGATATTTGCACTTTTGGGTTTGTTTTGTTAGATTATGAGAAATTATGTAAACTGAAAGAGGACTGTAAAACCTCCCTCAGTGAAATACTGAGAATTACAAAATAATCTGATTCTTACATAGCTTTGGCACTACCAATGTTGAATGTTACTGCAGGTATTTATTGCAAGAGCCTCAGTTACTGCAAAGACAAAAGTACAACAGTGAGCCTTGTTTGCTTAGAGAAACCACATACTCCCAGTGTGTTCTGGGGGAGTAATCACACACTTCTTGTGGGTATTCAGGAGAAGTGATAATTCTGAAGCAGAGAATGCTATTGATAATGTTTCCACGGGGAAACACAGTAAAAATGCATTTAGCTGTTCCCCTACATGAAATTTAAGCAGAGTTTAAGTCCAGGTCGTGAGTGGCCTGTGGTGAGATGTTGAACCTAAACACTGATGTGTCTTCTCCACATAGAGGCACTTGCTGCTTAAAAGTTGCTGGAGATATTAAACCCATGAAAACGTGTTGATATTTAGGGCATTTAATGAAATATTCAAAACATGTAAGTGCACAGGCACGAGGTAGACATGCACTATGCAACAAAAAGATAGTGTGGACGATGAAAAATTAGTCCCTTCTGAATTCATTATTTCTATTCTGTTTAACTATTTGCTTCTTACTTTGAGAATCCCAATGTGGAAAAATATTTTTATAATCTGTTTGGCATTTTTGGCCCTCATGCAATTTCAATTCATGAGTTGAAATCCTGTTGCCGTGGAAATGAGCTGAATTGTTGATCAGCTTTGAATTTCTCCCACAAATGAAGGCAACTGAGGGACATCATCTGGGCCTTTGGGGATCTGTCCATGGGTGTGAACCTGGCAGTTCTCTGGGATTCTGCCCACCAGTGGGAGGTTGGTTGCTGGGCAGCTCTTGGCCAGTTGGCATCATCAGCTGTCCACAACTTCCTCTGCCCCTGCCCCATACCAGCACCACTAGCAAGGGGGGGTAGTTTTTCTCTGATGACTTTCAGAACAGCTGAAATAAAAATAAACACTACTTTTTAGGAAGTAAAAAAAAAAAAAAGCTTATAATATAATCTTGATCTATGGCTTGGAGGAGGGGTTTAGGTTAAGCTTAGGGGCAGTGAAACTCGGAGTGCCAGCTCTGTGTCTCCCTGTCCCAGGACTGGGAGAGAGGGATGGGCAGGGATTGGTGCTGTGGGCGGGTGGGACAGGAATGTGCTGCTGTGCTGCTCTCAGGCCTGGGGCTGGGAGGTGGCAGTGAAAGCAGAGCCTTCCCCTCACTGGGAGTGCCAGGTGCTGGACCTCAGCAGTGCTCCCATTCAGAGGGTATTTCTGGCCTTCCTAAGCTTTGATCCTGCCACTGAATCCGCGGGGGTGCAAAAATCCACCCACGCAGATCCGATGTCAGAATCCTGGCCTTAATTATTTATGGTTTGCTTTGGACAAATTACTGTTCTCTCTGCAATAACCACAGTTATTACCAGAAATACAGAACAATCTAAGCCATACATATATACATTATGTAGGTATGACATTTATTTTTTTTTTAAGACTGTAACTTTATTAATGAGTTTTGAGGCTTAACTGAAATTCTCATTTCTCAGTCTTACCCTGTGCTGCTTTTTACCTGACCAGACTGGTCTAGATCTACAGCAATTAATTCTCAGAAGAAAACAGCTCGTAATGTTTATAACCTGAAATCTAACTTAGAACTGAAAAAACATCCAGCTTTACACACCTTGCACCAAGATCCTGGTGGTTTGTTAAACTGCAAAGGGACTTTACTAGTTTCCTGCACAAAAGAGACCCCCTTTTTTAAATGTCTCCGGACTCTATTCACAAGACTAATCCATCTCAAGTTAAATCATTTTCATCTGCATGTAAATAAAAAAATGAATCTCTTACGAAAAAACCCCAAACCTTTTAACGAAGGACAGTACATTTCATGAAACAAAAGTAAAATCAAAATTTTACAGCAAAATCAAACATGCCTCTGCCACTTCAGAGCTTGGCAATGCCAGCCAGCACCATTCTTTAATTAGAGTAAGTCAAACTTTGTGGCTTGTGTTTCCCAAAGTCTTGTTCTTTCTTTCTTTTCACCTTACTTTTTCCTAAGTTTTTAATCATAAGTTAATGCTGATATGTTTGCTGTCCTAATGGTTACAAATAGGCTCACAGCAGTTGAATGTTGCTTTAAATTTGGATTCTTGTCTTCATTTTTTTCCCTTAGTAGAACCATGTGAAAAAATCTGCTCTCTTCAATAGTTCATAAGTAGGATATTGGCAGCCTGGACGTTTCACTTCTTGCATGTGCTCAGTTGGAAGTCAACTGAAAATCAGCAGAAGCTTCCAGGTAATTCCTGTACCTGCTCAGAATTATGTAAAGCTGAGTTTTGTTTGAAGTTGAAATGTGCACCCCAGCTTTCAGTGAGGTGCCAGCCTGGTACTCTAAAGCATGTTCCTAATGATTTGGTTTTGCTCTGGTGGGAGAGTAGTACTAGTTCTGGTTTTCAAGTTGATGTGTGCTCCTGGCTCTGAGGTTTCAGTGCAGTGTGTTACGGGTATGGATTGCAAGCCCAGTCTCAGTGTCCGAAACAGTTCCTAGAGTCACAGGAAATACGTGTTTTGCACCTATTATTATTGAGGAAAACCAAATGGCAGTAAAAGTACTCCAGAATGGAAAAAAAGCTTTCTAGTAAAAATGCCGTTTCTGTGAGTGACCTGTCTGAAAATCACAGAAGCTCACGAAGCACGGCGGATCTGCCTCATCACAAACAGGTCACTTGCTTCTCAATACAGAGTATTGGCAGTTTTCAAAAATATAATACAGCATTAGTATTTTTCCAGGTTATTAAACAATGCAAAAGACCTAGTTTAGTATGGTTAGTTTTTATTTTCAAGTCATGGTTGTGTTTGATACTTCCTTAAAAGCTTTCAGAATTGCACGTTCCAGAGCTTTGGTTCTCTGCAGGTTGTGTTGGAACTGATTGTTTTCTGAGCCTGAACTAAATCTCTTGAAGGGTTCCTCAGTCTTCTCCTGATGGAAAGCAATGATAACTTAAGTCAGAGGGAGGGTCCACTTAAGGCAATTAATTATGGGAAGCCAGTTACACAACGGGGAAGAATTTTGCCCTTAATATATGCGTATTTTTTTCCCTGCAGAATGACCAGATTCTATCATGAACTGTATAGATATTATGATTTTATTTTTTTTAAAGATTGTGAGCCAAAGTTTTAAAATTACTAGGAATTCTGGCAATGAGAGTGTCAGAGAACCAAACTGGAGGCCTTGCTGTTACCCCTTCCAAAGGTTTCAAAGCGTTCAGCTCTGTGCAGGAGATCCACCCGTGAAGTGTCTCAGGTTGGGATACAAAAGTCCAAACTTGTCACCTTTCAGCCTTTGACCTAATTCAATTTTTATGAGAAATTGCTATAAATATATACTTGCCAAGCAATACAAAGTGATATCTGATAGTTTTCCACAGTAAAAAATTGTCTGCATGTGTACATCTATATGGGAAACTCAGGGAATGTGATACAAACAAGAAGTGTGTTTTGCCTTTCAAGCTACAACTAGATCTTGGCTTTTCAAAATCTGTGGGTTTTCTCTGTAGGTCAGTCTTCCAGTGTCTTTTGTTAGTGTCTTTTCTAGCTTCCAGCTAGAAAGCTAATGATAAAGCATCAGAACTGCACCCTTTTAAAAGAAGAAAAGCAGGGTAGGCATCTGTAATAGTAGTGTAATGACACCAAATGTGCATGTATGGTTTAGAATGATTGCCTGAACCCTCATTCATTGGCACGTGGACAGTTTCTCCAGTGCTTTATCTCCAGATGATGTTTTGCAGCACCAGTCTGGCATCATCAGACACTGAAAGATTTTTCCACACAACCATAAAATTGCCCCTTCCCCCTTGCCTGTGCAGCCCAGCAGCTGTAATAACAGAGCAGTGGCACAGCGTGCACCCCTCCTGCATGGCTGGGGGCTCAGCAAAGGGTGAGCTCCTGTCCCGAGGCTGTGCCTTCCTCTTGGAAAAGGGTGGCTGGGGAATGTTTGTCTGAGCTGGGAGTGAGAACTGGGCTGTCTGTGCTCCCCAGTTCCCCCTCGAGAAGCCGTGCAGTGGAACAGCTGCACAGCCCTTCTCACCCTCCTCGTGCTGTTACACATGTACATCTCCCTTCAGCTCTTGGCCAGCTTTGCCCTGCTCTCTGGGGGTTTCTGGTTGAAGGTTGCAGTGGTGGATTTGGGGTTTCTGCAGAACAGAGCAAGAGGAAGGGATCAGTCCCGTGCAGGAGGACTGACAGTCCATGTTCAGCATCATGCAGGAGGGAGTTTCTTTGTGTTCTGCCAAAATGTATTTCAGTGTAACATGTCTGGAGGCTGGTTGGGGCTACTTCTATAGAGAGCAGACCAAAGTATACAATATACTGGCTCCCCTTTTGCTGGTTTTGGACAGCCAGGGCTGCTTTCCATTTCCTACAGTGTTCCAATATAACTAAGTCATGTGTGCTTGGTAATGGAGGCTTCTGAGACCTGGGGCTTCTGTAAAATGGAAAAGAACAAAGTATTATTTATACAGTATAATATTTTGATTTGCTAATGAGCTGTGAGGTGGGTGTTATCATGAACTACTGTGCAGCAGGAGAGGTTCCTAAAACATGCATCAGCTTACTCCATCTCCAGATCACTGCAGATAACACAGTGTTTAGTTTCTAATTAGACCTGTGTTGTGCTAATTCTCCTGAGCAGTGTAGGTGATGGCTGGAGCTGGTGCATCCAGCCTCTCCCAGGCTGATTGGCAGGATGAGCACACGCTGATTGGTGTGGCCTTGCTCCGAGGGAGAAGGAGGAAATAAAGGCACATAACCTTCAATTAGACTAATGATGTTCTAGTCCTAAAAGGATTAGGAGAGAAACATTTAACTGAAAATAAAAACCCAATGTATAATAGTTCACAAATCATTTATTTATTCTGGATAGTCTTGTGCACTGTTTCATAGGAGAGGATGGACGTTATTCTTTTTCCATGTCTCAATCCCCTGTATTAAAAATACAGATGGTTCACCCTAAGTGCTGGTTTCTGTACATGTGAGTAATAAGTGTAACCTTCAAGGCAGAATCTTGTGAACTGTTTGTTGATGGAACATGCCAGAGCAGCATAGGCATTTTACATTGCTAAAATTATTTCTGGATCACTTTTGCTAGAACATTTTCTTTGTGGCCAGCTCAAATCAGTGTGCTTGGTAGTGCAGTTCCACTGTGGAAATGAAAATAGCAACATGGATTTGATATGGACAGTCTCATTGAACTAGACTGGGTTAGTGTAAGAAACTTCTCCTAACTTTCACCCTTCAGTCAGATTCTGAACATGGTTTGGCTTTTTCACATCATCCTCACAGCATTCAGCACTAGCAAAGGCTGTGCCAGTCACTCTTGGAAGTCAGTCATGTAGCATTGGATTTTTTCACGGCCTTTAAATAAATGTTAAATAAATAAAAATGTTTCAGCCATTGGAAGTCCCAGGCTGAGCTGTTCCTCTGCTTGAGGGGCTGGAGCCCCTTTTCCGTGTGTGAAAGGCAAGGGGCTGGCTAAGGAGTGCCATTTTCTCAGGATGATCAAGCTGTGGCTTGCTGCAAGTCCCATCTGCCCTCTCCACATGCAGCCTTGGAGGCCCTTCCTGGAACAAGCTCCTCGGGGATTTACCTGCGTGAGGTTGCTGGTCCAGGGTCACTGGGAAGGCAGATGGGACACAGGATGGCAGACTTGGAGCAGTTGCACTTGGCAGAGAACAGATCTGTGGAGTAGCACAGTCACTGTATGGGGCAGAATTTCTATTTAAGTGGTGTTCCTTGTGGATCTCATCCCCAGGCTGGTACAAGTAGTAGTGGTGCCGTGCCCCTGTTGGATTTTCAGAATTGCCAGGTGGCTCACAGGCTGCCAAGGGGGTGTTTGTGCAGATCATGATACACATAAAGGTATTTGGTTCTGTCTGTGTGCTTCAGCCTGCCAGTAATACTTTTTTGCAGGCTATGTAAATCAGGGTTGGAATTTGCTTTGTCAGTTGATGTCAGGTTGAATTAAGTCAGCCTTGAAAGCCTCAACCATATCCCAGGTAATAAAACTTAATCATGAAGTAAGAACCATAAATTTGTCTTCTGCTTGAGAAAGGAGGCGGTAAGGTAACCCAAACTTCCCATTTACTTCCTTTTGCTGTTTCTATTTTGTCTGTCAGAAACTGCAAAAGGAAGGTTTTGGACCTTCTGAGAGTATTAGAAAACTTGAAAAAAAAAAAATCATGTGGCACAACCACTCACTTGACCCAGCTGTGGGCAACATGTTTTAACTCTGTGAAACTGCCAAGTGCTCCCACTTTGTAACCCTGAGTGAAGGTGTGCCTGCTGCAGATCTGTGGGATGCACATTTGCTCATATTTCAGTTATGGGGTTTTTCCAGTTTCCCTTTCACTACTGCTCTGTTAAAGTACTGCAGCTCCCTGGAAGGCTGCAGGCATTGAAAGGGCTGCAGCGTTAAAAAGAGAAGTTTGGGGTCCTTTTTCTTAGTCAAACAGTTTTTTATATGCCAAGTGCAGTATTTTATGCTGCCCAAGGAAAAGGATACTGTTTGCCACACTTTAAAATAACACAAAAGCTGTTCCAGCTCTCCTTGAAGCCAGTGACAAGATTCCACTTGCTTTCAATGGGAATTTGCAAAAGACCTGTGATGCGGTTTCTGTCAGAGCAGGAGAAAGCTGTGAGTTCATTGTACCAAGCAAATGTAAAATGAATGAATTTCATGCCATATCATTTGCACAACTCAGAGAGAAACTGCTTTGGTTTTGGAGGAAGTGTCCTGTAAGGCTGTTACTCAGGCTCTCACACGTCGTGCAGATAAAGAAGTGTGTGACTGCACTCAGACCTGCTGCTGTTCTGTTTGAGTGTGTGTTAGAGCACAGGGAAGGAGGGACCACCTGGTCTGGGGTGTTCCCTTCAATTTGGAGGGTGAAGTGTCCAGCTACTGTTTGAATGTGTAATAATGGCCAGGAAATCTCAAAGTCCAAATATTTGTGTCAGTGAACTAGAGCATCCTAAGTAAGTCTTGTGCAAAGCAGAGGTTGGAATGGAAGAACTCCAAGGAAAACATGTCTCTCTTTAAAGTGAGGTTTCCCATGGGTTTCCCTGCCACAAGGCAGCAGGAGTTTGGCTGCCCCTGTTCTCTGTGCACCTCTCTCCCTGTGCCTGTGCAGCCCTGAAAACAGGAACCTAGCAGTGAACCTGTGGCATCCCTGGGGCTTGTGTGAAGGGAAATGTGTGGAGAACTGCACCTTCCAGACACCCACGGCAGCGGCGTGGCAGGAAAAAGGAATGTCTCATGTTCTCTCCACGTGAGATCAGCCTTAAAATTCTCCAGAGCAATGAGGCTTCTCTGTAGCTGTGAAGAGCCCTGGGGCCTTGTCAGGCATTCTTGCACTTCTCAGCTTATTCCTGTTGCACCTTGATAGAGATAAGACTAATTATTAGATCCTCAGCTTTAGACTCCCTGCAGTTACTCAGTGCACAGTTTACTTTATCTATCATTTTCTACTCTAGCCTTACAGTTTACTTTAGGGAGATTATATTCTTGCTGCTGCTGGAAGAATTTGGCTACCAGCAAAGAACATGGTTTTGAACTCCATGGGATGTTACTGATGTGTAAATTGTCCTATATCTTCCAAATAGTGGCCACTCCATCACTTTTCACAATATACCTTACCTTAAGGTTGGGAAATAATTAGTGATTTTGGGTGATCAGCTTCAGCAATCTTCAGAGGGACCCAAAATCTTCAGAAATTGCTGTTATGGAAGATTGCATCTTCTAAAATCACATTTCCCTGAGTTTTGAAAATGTAAGGCTTGCATCAATATTCATAAGAGACCCAAGCTCAGCACTACTTAATTAAAGAATACCTTTATGGAAAGTACTTTACATGCACAGTAGGTGCATTTTATAACCTCTCTGAAATGAATGTGTAGAGCCTAATGTTAGCAGAAAGGCAAAAGTTACCAACCAGAAGCATTTGAAACTGGGATGAGCATGTTGGTCTCCTGCTGCTGGCACTGGATTTCCTTGTTGGAGGTGTGAAGGATCGGTGCTGAAGAACACTTGGGACATTCTGTAACGTTTCTGTTCTCTCCAGATCTAGGTGAAGTTGGAATATTTGTGCACTTATGTTGATTTACCTCCACATTAATGTCAGTGAACTGACTCTTCCACAAAGATAGAACACACATTTTCTTACTGGCCTGGAGAGAAAATGATTCTCTGGTGTTTATTCTGATGAATTTAAAGATATTTCACACACGTTTCCCCAAATTCTCTGCTTGTGTGCACTGGCACAGCATCACTCTACTCAAAGCAAGCAGATACGTTTACGTGGCAGGTACTCTGGCTTTGGTGAACTACAGATGGTTTGTTCCCAGTTCCTGAGTAACCAGGAGAGGGAAAGTTTTCCCAAGGTTTGGAGTGTAGCTCTCCTGTCAGGGGCACGCTCTGGGTGAGTTGGCCCCAGGCTGTGAGGTGTGTGTGTATCCTAAAGGAGATGGACTGGAGCTGATGTGCTCCTCTGGTTCAGCTGAAGAACCAGAGGGGCTGGTGAAGAAGGAAAGCTCCCAGCACTGCCAGTAGTCTTGGGGGCGGTTCAGTTCAGAAAGTTCAAAACCAGTGCTTAAAGAACAGTGCAAATATTTCCCAGCCTTTCCTGTGAAATGACATGGTTTGTTTGCTGTTGCTTGTTCATCTGCTCTGCCTGGTATGTCACATTTATCAGTGAAACAGACTGTAGGGGGTAACGGTACTTAAATGTTTATTTTATGATGTTTTGGCTTTTGCTATGTTTATTCTGCATTTTCTGGCTAAATTCACACTCAGATAGCTTTTTCTTCTGCTGTTGCAGCACATCTGTCTCAGACTGCCTTTAAGAAGATGAAGCAGTAATCTGGCAAAATGAACTCAAAACACACAAGGAGGAGCCATTGGAGACTCACCTGCAAGGTGTTCAGGTATTTGCACTTTCATATCCTACACCAGCAATTGGTGCACACGTGGTGTGCCCTGCAGTTCCTGCACTGCAAAGAAAATGTTCTTGTTAACTCACACAAAGTGATGAGAAAATGCTGTAAAAAAATGAAAAGTCAGGGGAAGGATTAAAGTTTTGGTTCCCAGGGATGCCGGGACATCTCATGTACCACTTGCCAGGCCTCAAGGATTGTGGAGAGCTTTAAGTTGTGTGTATGTCCTGCATATACACAGTGTATACACGGGTGTTTACAGTTCTTCCCAGTGCCAAAGTGAGACTTTCTGGTTGGACAGCAGGAACAATCTAGATGATAGGGAAATAGATTTTTGTTTTAGGGGTACATACAGGAAAACGTGGCAAGGCCTGCTGAGCCTGTGTTCCGTGTCTCTGGAGGAAGGAGAACACTTGTGTGATTCCCTTTCCACACTCCTCGGGAGCGGGTGGTGACAGACGTGCTGTGGATGTGCAAAGTGACAACTTAGCAGCAACAAGGAATTCCATCCGTGTCTGTAGGATGATGTAAGTGTGGAGGGTGGCTGTGCACAGCTTGTCCCTTTGCAGCTGATAGCTGGGGAGGCAAATGGGCTGCTGAGGGACATAAAGGTGAGAGTTGTGCTTGCAGAGTGCCTCAGTCGGTACCAGGGCAGAGACAAACTTTTACTGGGACAGTCATTGCAATGTTATCTCATTGCAGTGGTTAAGCTGTTGCAATTAACATTGCAAACTGTGGTTCATGAATTAAGTATTTTAAACAAACCCACAAAAGGTACTTCCTAAGGGTTTATATTTCATGGTTATGTCACTGACGTGAAAAATCACTCTCCTTAAATGTTACACCGTATGTGACTGGCTGAAAAGCAAGTATGAGTAAACAGCAAAGTCACTCTGAATATTATTTTAATTCCTGAGCTTACAGAGTGTATCAGCTTCCAGATATTTATTCAAGTTGCTCTTTTATTATGTGTGCATTCCCGTGGTTTTGGCAGTGCGCTCACAGACAGTGCTGATGTACTCTTTCAGATTCTGCTACCAAAGTGCTCCTGTGACTTCATGCAGTTTGCTTCATCTGAGTGAACCTCAGATAAGTCATGCAAAATTTGTATTAAATCCCAGAGCACCAGGTTTTGCTGCACACAATGCAGATGTAACACATGGGACCAGCAAATGATGGTGTAGCACTGTCAGTACTTTTCCTTTCAGTGTTTTGTCTTCACTGGCTTTTTTTTTTTTTTGCCAACACTGGACCTCCAGTGCAAGTAGTTGCTCATAGTGGCATCCCAAAAAGTAAAGTCCAGTGGTGAAAATTCCTGTTTTCCTTCTAAGTGTTTTTGAATCTTGGGTCAGATCGTTGGCCTTCAGAACATCCTCAGTGTCACTTTGGAGCTACAGTATTCTTTGGAAGAACAGGAAACTGCTGTCAGAATCTCCTGAGGTGGGTTTAGGAGAGGTTTCTGTTCAACTTTGATGAGTGATACTGGTTTCCTGTAAGAAGATTAATTGTATCTAAAGCATTTACACTTTCAAGCCTTTTGGAAATAAGTACACTCTAGATTAAGAAGTGGTTTCCTACTCAGTTAGGTAGTTCCTTCAGAAGAGTTAACACTCAAGGAGAGGAGAAATGAGCCTTGCATGAATTTTATTGACAATGGATAGGAAGAATAGTGCCTGAGAACATTCTATAACCTGAAATTATGGACTAATTCTGTACCCAAAGGTGGTGGTCAAACAAACATCCCATATTTTAGATACAAGTTAATGTTCTGACCTTAATGTTCTCAAAACTCTTCGTTATGGGGAAGATAGACTTTACTTTGCATTTCAGGTTGGGATCGGTCCTCAAAATAAGAAAACTCTAGAAGTCAAATTTTCCTCGCAGAATTTTTAGACTATATGTGGTTTGAATAACAAGCTATTTTAGAAAGAAAGGGTTTTTTCCTTCTTAGGGAAAAAATTGCACTTAATGCTTGTTGCAAGCCTTTCATATTTCTAACACTACCCTGATACACTGTTTTCTGAATAAATTATAATTGTAATATAACAAAGCTGCTTACAAGTGTTGCTGTATTTGAGATGCAGATTTTATTTTGATTTGGTTTTCATAGAAGGAGTGCTTCCATTTCACAAATTTTGTTTAACTTTGGGATTTGAGAAACTTGAAATCAGTATATTATCACAGTTGGTATTTCTAGAAGATGATGGCGTTTTAAAAGGAATTTTTCCTAATTGGAAAAATTTGCAAAACTCTCAGAACCATGGTCCTTCTCATTCCAAAACACTCTGCATTGAGCATAGGAAGAATTAGTATCAAAAGCTAATAGAGAATGTGATGTTTGCTGGCTCTGGTAGCCAAGGCAATGGCTCCAAAAAATGCAGGAGTGCCTGTTCCTTGATTTGAACATTGATTCTGCCCTGAGTGGTGACTGGGATGTCTGGTTAAGTTGATGGTGAAGCCTGGATGCCTTTGTTTCAAAACTACAGCTTTGCACCTATTACACAGCCCAGGCATGAGCAGTTCCTGATGCACAATGAACAGTGGTGATAATGTGAGTGTCAGCTGTAAAATCTAAGTGCAATGAAGATACTGGAAAGGAATTAAAAAAATTATTGACAGCCTTCATTTTGGAAGCTCCTGAACTTGTATTCTGTAAGTTTGGTTTCCTTGATAATGTTCAAAAATACAAATTGGGGTTTTTTTCCTTTTTTTTTTATTTTTTTTCAGGAGACAGGGCATTCATGGGACCTAAGTTGCATGTATTGAACAGTAATGTGGAGAGGGAAGAGGGTTTCAGATGTGAATTAACTCTGAGTTATAGTGACTCATAACTGACAACAAAACACCCAAGAAGAGACATGAGACGGGATGAGATGAAATGAGACAAGCCATGAAAGAAGGGACAGATTTATGAGTTATTGGCCCACAGATGGAATGAGAAGATATACGAGTGGAGAATGAGATCATCACTCAGAGCTGTGCTGGGGGAAAGGAGGGGCTCACAGGACACATCCCAGTAACCTCTTGTGGATAGGAGGAGGGTTGATTTAAGCCACAGGAAAATCAATATTAGTATGATATAAAGATGGGTTAAATCCCAAACCTCAGAGGGGCCTGATTTTTCTCCCCTTGCACTTCAGAACACAAAGAAACAACAGTTAGGCCGACCCTGAACCTCCAACAGTACGTGGAGACTTGGCTCTGTGATGGTAATCCCACCTAACTAAAGTCACACCAGCATGCTTTCAATTTTGGAAATGCAAGGCAGTTTTCAGCAGTTTAAAGAAGTTGCTGCATTGCTTAAAATAAAGACAGGAGGCAGAATTTTCACCTTCAATCTAAACAATGCAGCAGTTTTCTGAAAATGTTAAAATCTGGCTTTCATCCCTAAAGCTGAAAGCATGTTTCCAAGTAACTGCATCTTCTGTGCTACCAAGGCATCGCTTATGGATTATAAATGGTGGAATTGATTGCCAAGTCTGTTTCGGTGAAATTTCAGTTGGCAAAATTATAATCCATCTCAAGATTCAGTATCTTAAAATTTCTACCTAAATGATGAAAATAAGCCCTTGGTTGCTCACAAAGCATGTACAGGTGTGTAAAGTTTGTTACTGTAGTTGCAGTAACCCTTCTCTAATTCTGTTTTGGTATCCTGTACAAAGAGATGAGGAGGATCTGCTTGGAGAAACACACAGGAGTCTGTTGGTTAGCTGGGTCTGCAGGATCAATTGGCAGCCTCATGAGAAAAACTTTTCTGATGGAGTTTCTTCTTATATCTGATTCTGACAGGAGTAGATAGGAATTCAGAAGAAGCATGGGAGTGTTTTTCACAGATTTGATCATATTTGCTCTGACTTGACTTAGGGGGTCATCTGTGCAAGTGGTCAGAGTGAGTTAAAAGTCGTCAAACTTGGTAACCAGTTGGTAGAACTGGAGGTAATCAATAAAGCAGTTTTGCTTTGGTCAAGCCTCAGTGTGTAATATTTTACCTTTTGTTTAGCTGTCGCTGCCCTCACTCAGCAGCAGCGGGCGAGGAGTCGCAGTCCCTGTGGGAAGGGCTGGTACCGGCGGTTCCCTATGGGAAGGGCTGGTACCGGGAGCGTGAGGGCGGCGTGTGACCAAGTCCCACAGTGGGTGGGTCGTGCGGCGGCTCCGCTGGCCCTGCCCTCAGCCCTGTCCATTCCCACACGCCTGGAGAGGTGTGTGAGAGCTGGGCACTGTGTACCCAGGGTGGGCTCAGTGAGCTCTCGGTGTGCTCCCTGTGGGAGCTGAGGGCTCTCCGTGCCGGGCCCAGCAGGCCCCGCGGCCCCTCAGCCCTCAGAGGAGTTCCTGAGGGAACACGGCCCTTGTGTTTGCTTGGAAACGGCCTCGTGCTGCCTGGAGATGGAAGGGTGCTTCATGGAATCTGACAGCTGAGCTGGAACAGGATTACTGAGGTTGTATTTTTGAAATATAATTCACTTTTTGACGTTAGATTAGCGTGGTAGATAGAGCACGGTTAAGTAATTGAGGACCAGGCCGCCGCCGTGTAAATGAAATAATTACCAACCTAAAAGGTCTGTGCTTCAGGAGAAATTGAGTCTTAGCAGCCATATCAGTTGTAAGTGTGGGCATACTTGGTAAGAGCAGACAAACTCCTGATGGGTTCCAGTTCCTGAAGCATTTAAGCATGTGTTTAACTCACTGTGCATTTCAGACTCAGTGTGTGCTGGTACTGACTCTGGGTGTTACTCTGGAAGGAGCTCTGTTTCTAAAACGTAATGCTGCTGGAACACTTACAGTGGAGGTTTCTATTTGCTTGATAAACACCATCCGCTTTTGACTTCAGTGTTCTGTGTTGGATATTGTTCATTTTGGGTAGAGCACTGATTCTAATTGGGAGCTTATTGAGATCAATGCGTTCCTGGATTTTTCAGCTTTCCAGTGATAAGAGGGATGAATCGTAGACAGAAGTGGGAAGAGAGAGTATGTGAATGAAAAACCCTGACATTTAAAGAAGATAGAAAGTCCATAAATAGTCAGTCTGTTAAATGTTGAGACACCATATTGATCTCCTTAGGGTGGGCTAATAAATACTTAAGTGCTACTTAAATAGACAAAGGAGATTGGAAAGACTTGAAGAGTTAAATTGTCAAATTTTCCACCCTCCAAGACTTTGATGGTGCCTTTTCTTTCCTGGTAAAACTAGTATTCTATAAACACACCTGTGGCTAAGGAGTTGGGACGTTGCCATGTGCTTGAGGTGAGGCTGTTCTTAAACTCTGCTGGGTATAACAGTGGGACAGGAATCATGTTCTAGAGATCCCAGGTGCCCTCTGCCTGTGCCGGGACCTGCAGGTCCTGGGATGGAAGGAGCAAACAGATTTCTCTGTTCTGCAGAACGGGAACAGCGCAGAGCTGGAAATTAGTAACTTGCAATGGCCTGAGCTGCTCTTTCCTCAGACATGGTTGCCCTTTTGAGGCATCTTCTATGAAATAAAAACACACTGAGAGCTTCAAATGGAAAACAGTGGAAAGAGAAAAGTATTAAAATAACTGTTTACTCACCAAGTTTTGTAGACTGATAAGATTACTCTTGTAAAACCAAATGACCAGCCAAACAAACAGGTAAGATCATGATATTGAGAGACTGATTTTAACTAAATCACTGTAGAGTCTTGCTGCTTGTGGGAGTTTTTTCTTACTAGATTTCATTTTGAGAAGGTTTCTTAATGCAAACAGACTTTACACATTTTAATCCCCTGAAACTGAGCTGTCTTAAATGACAGATCTTATTTTTGACAAAATATTATAGTAAATATGATGTATAACATTGCATTACATAACGGTGGTATTCCTAAATGAGTCTTATAGTAGAGTTCCAGGTTAAAATTCAAGACAAGCTCTGTATAGTACAATATTTGATCCACGTATATCCTAAATTCCTTATGGAAAGATAAAACTTGGGAGAAGACAAATACACCTTTTTTTCTAATATGACATAATGGGGCACTGAAAGATCAGGGTCAGCATGTCGAAAATTGTGGAGTCCTATTTAAAGTGCGGGCTGGACTCTGAGAAGTGCTCAGCTGTACTGGCCCTGAGCTGTTCGAGTGTAAGGCTGAGAAGGGGGCAGGAACTGGTTGTGCTGTGCTGGCTTGTCAGTCTGACCTAGTGGTGTCGCTGCACTGGAACACAGAGGAGCTGTTTGGAAAATCTGTGTCGGTGCAGGAGACAAACCTGGATGCTTGCATTTAACCCGGTGCCAAACAACACAGGTTTCTGAGTTTTCAGGAGTTCTCTCAGTAGGCAGACAGGAAAGGAGAAATGTCAGTGTATACTTGGGGTTTGGACTGATACAGTAGAAGTGTCTTAGCACAGAATACTGGAGTAATTCTGTCTGCTCATTTTCGTTGTTTCGTTTGTTGCATTTCAGATAGGATAAAATAGAGTGTTTTTCTGACTCTTGGGACTGACATTCAGCTTGCCTATTATGTCTTATTAAAGGCTCTGTCAGGTTTGAAAATCAGAAGTGTTCAAATAAAAATAGTGTCTGGAGAGGGAGGCACAATATGCTTTTGTTTTCTAGCCTCTTAATACCTGAAGAGTGGGAAGGGAAGGACGGTTTACTACAGGACTGGGGGGGGAAAAGCGTTTGTTTGTTAGGGACCAGCCTGTACGTGTATGTACACAGAATATTGATTGATTTGCTGATGGTACTGGCAGACACGTGTGCATTTCACGCCCTTGGATGAGAATTTGCGGGGATTCTGTTTCCCTTTGTGGAGGTAATTAAGCCACACAACAGCTGTCTGGCAAACATTAGCACTCCCCTGCCCGGTCCCAGGAGAGCAGAGGCAAGGCAGGAGTGATGTGACCAAGAGACCGGCAGGACTGGGGTGAGAATCAAATCTGAACCAAGCCCTTGGTGGTAAAGTGAGGCGCGTTGTGGCTGAGAGGGATGGACTCTAGGGGGTTATACTGCCAACACCTCAGACAGCTGCTATACAAATCATGGAATCCTTTAGGTTGGAGAAGGCCTCTAGGATCATCAAGTCCAACTGTCAAATGTAGAAGAGAAAGTAATTTTATGTGTCAGGACAAAAGATACAGCTGTGCTAAATGCTCCACAAACACATAATAAGAGGAATTCTCTTTGTGACCCTGCTCATCTGTTGAAAAGAGAAGGAAGTCTCCTCTAAATTTCTTTAAAACCGTACAGCAAGGTAAGCTCTGCCCCAGCTGAGCAAGATTTAGGCACGTCTTGATTTTCTTGTTGAATCAAGACCATATATTAGTTCAAGAGGACACCTTTCAATTAATGCCATTTCTCAAAATGTGATGTACATTGCATTGTTTCACAGAATCATTTAGGTTAGAAGCACAAGCTCCTAAACCCACATGGTTTGTATAGTATCCTCCTGATCTATAAATAAGCAATCTATGACCTTTTTACTCTAGAAGCCTGGTAAAGACCCTGGCAGCACATCACACAATATCTTAATATAACTTGCCAGCTCTTTGTGGGAGTCTGCCTCCGTGTCCCTGAGAAATGGAGCTGGAGGTGACAGTTGAGGCTGTGCCACCTCCTTCCGGAACCAGATCAGTCCTGCAGCCAGTGGTGTGTCTGACTGGGCAGTTACAGCTCGGGGAGTCAGTCCCAGCTGCAAACAGTCCTGGGCACAGTGCAGGCAAAGGTACAGCTCTGTTACTGCATTGAGGTACCGAGATTAAATGTATGTTTACCAGGTTTCTGTTTCAGTGAAAATGATAATAATGAATGCCATTAAGTACAGTTCAGTAAAGATGCAATTTAGAATGTTAAAATATTTATGTGAGCTCTAAAATGCCACCCTAAGTAGCTGTTATATTAAAATTGCATATTAAAACAAAATACAAATTTCCCTTCCCTACTTAATGTCAGTTACTTCATTTTGATTACTGAAAATATTTTGCAGCTGTTTTTCAGTTTTCTCATTTGTCTCTCCTTAGATAAATAAAAGTACAATTTTAATGAATTTATGCTTAGAACCTTCAATACTTGAACTTCTATATGCTTTGATAATTAAAACGAAAAGCAAAATAAAATTGAAAAGTGTAAAATGCAGGCATTGTTTTTCCACAGAGCCAGAATGTTTTCAGTTTTCTTACATGTCACACTATTCTGGAGCATGGTATTAATATTTGAAGCAAATATACATTCAACTATAGGAAGGCTTTCTTAAGTCTTTTCCTTGGGTGTCAGGGCTCCAGTAAACTGTTTAACCCAGGAGTATGACGGGAGGACTCTTCCAGTGGCACTCACTGAAATAATATTTGTTAGAGTGCATGTGGTAAAGCAGCCACTTGATTCCAGAAGTCTAGAAAATGCAGTGGTACTTCAGGTGGAAGTGGTGTATTCCACTAGCAAAGATTGTGGTCTTTTTGTAAAAAGAAATTCTGTTCATTTTAGACAGAACTTGTGATTTTTAGGGTTATACCTTTGTTTGTGATATGTATTAGTGCATAATTTAGTTTACATATTTCATCTACATCCTCGTAGCTTGATGCAGATCTGTCAGTGTCTAGTAAGTGTCTGCTCCAAGGATATTTTTATCAGTGATTACACAAAGGAAATTGAAACTGAAGACTTCCTCTTAGACTTCACTGTTCTGCTCTTGAATTAATGAATGCTCAGTGCAAAGCTGCAAATGAAAAACGAGCTGCCGTTGAAAGGGAAATTCAGGTATGTTTTAGGGATCATTTGCTTTTCTTGCCTCCTTGTGATGTCACAAGCACTGTGTTTTGGGGAGAGTGAGAGACAGTTCTAAAGGCAGCTGTCAGAACCAGGACAGAGATTTGGTTTAGTCACTGGTCTCCATGCAAATGGGTTTCTCTTGCCTTTCCTCCTTTCCTGCTGCTCAAGGTGAGAATGGTTTTTGGAGTCCCAGAGTTTGTGGCCCCAGTTATGTGAGTACGTGTTGTGAGAATTAGTAGTGCCAGTGGAACTCAGGGTTGATAAATGCTACTATTATTTTACAATTAGATACTAAATGTTACCTGTATCACCCTCTTGGGAAAACACACTGCACTTCCAGGGAAGGAACACATAACCTGGCACGAAGGAAATGAGAACATGTTTAAATAGAATGTCTCCAGGATAGTCAAGGGAGAGATTGAACTGGAATTCAGCTGAAGTGTTGTGTGGGTACACGCACTGGTGAAGAATTAACAAAATGGGGGAGCCAAAGGGATGTGCTTAGCTTGCTGCTTTCCCCCCAGGGCAGTCTGGTGCGTGTTTCTGGTGTCACTGGGGTATCGAGCCCTCTTTTGGTTTGCTTTTAGTTTATGGAAGAAAATAATGCAAGGCTTCATTTGTTTTTCCTGCTGTTGTTGGACAAGGTTTCTTTCAGCAATGTCAAACCAGTTGACTTGTGATAGGAAACAGTGATAAATAAACAAACCCAGAAAGGCTTTTTATGTGTTTGTTCCTCACCAACCTTTTGGTGTGCTGATACGCTCAGTGATTATTTATAACTGGATGAAAACTGTGTCTGTCTGTATGAGTACGAGGAGACACGCCTGGTTTAGTTGTGCATATGAAGAAAGGGAACTGCAGAAAATATTTTTCATTCCTCTTGTTAATTCTCGATTGAGATCCATTGAACATTGTTATTCTTTTGCTGGTAATGCACAGACAAAAGAGCAGACTGTCACCAAAGACAATTCCTTAATTCATATTTGAGAGGATAAAAATGTGGAACATGTTGTTTATTTTATGGATATGTATGTGCATAGTTAAATGTGTATCAGTTATAATGGGCCAAGGAAAGCAGAAAGGAATCTTTAGTGCACAGATGGCATGGGAAGGAGAGAACCAAGACGGAGCTGACTTGGAGATTTGAGGAAGAGGAAGGGATTGTAGGTGCAAAGGATCAGGCTCCTGTTGGGGTCTCAGTACTGGTGACATAAAACTTTAATTTCCTTATAGGAGCAGAGCAGTTTGAAGTGATAGGTTTGACGGTGGGAGCTGAGTATTGATTTTCTTTTTAATTTATTATTTATAATTTAAGAAGTTGTTATTTATTATATTTTATTTTATTTTGCCTTGTCTTTTAAAACTAGTATTTATTATTTAAAATAATAGAATGAGGTCTGGAATACAGATTTACACAAATATGTATACATCCATTGTAGAAAAAAATGTATGAAGAGAAGAAAATGGATTTAGATCAGTTCAGTTTGACATAGTGTGTGTAAGAAGACTTGGGAGCCTAATCTGTACGGATGACAAGAAAGATAATTTTGGGGAGTGAGATGCCTGCCCCGAAGGTGAGGGTAACTGAGATCCCATGGGGCAGGTGAGAGAGAAAAGACACTGAATGACCATGTTTTCATATATATATACACACACACACACACACACACACACACACATATATATAGCAGGTTTATTTTAGAACAATTTGGTTGCAGTGGAAAGGAGGTGTGTAGCTGTTTTGGTTATTATCTGTAGAAATACAGGAATATAAAAGTATAAAGATACTGCTTCAGGAAACGTATAAGGAAAAGACAGAAGGTGGAAGAAAGGACGAGCCTGCTGAGGCACACACACATCTTGTTGTGTGATTCTTTCATTGATCTGTGCATTCTCAGTGCAGTGCTTTGAGGAATACCAAGTGCTGGGCCTGCTCAGTACCTGAGAGCTGCAGCATGAATTATACCTGAGAACTCAGCCTCTTGGTTTGCTCCCTTTCACTTGAAGGATAGAACCAGGCAAATTTTCAGTGATTTTAATATATTTTAAGCTATATCAGAACATGTTTTTTCTGGTGTTTTGCTGAGTAATTGGACCAGCTATTATTTAAGAGTATCTTACAGATACATTATTACATCCACAATGAGACTTTGCAGATTTTTGCAATCTCAGATGCACTGAATAACTCTGGTATAGCTTTGAACAGTCCTGAGGAGCAATTTGGGATTGTTGCCAGATAACAAAGCATGGTGTAATAAGACCCTGAAGTTTGACAGTGCTTGTGTTTGTTGATGTATGGAGAGTAAAAGTAATTCTGAACAAAATTTTGTTCTTTATTTCAGATTCACTGATAACATGGAAACCAGAGTCTGTTACCCACTGGCTGTTCCAGATACGATGTCAAAGCCAACAAGGAGACTTGAAGTAGTGTGACTCAAAAAAGAAGTGTTTTGGTAAGTCACCTAATGTGCATTAAGAAGTTGAGAAAGTGATTTTTTTTTTCTCTTTGTGGCTCAAATGTGCTTTTAAGAAACATTACTAAAAACACAGTAGGCTGTTCACATTTTGGGAAGTGTTTATTCCTTCAGGCTAGCAGACCAAACCCACTGCCTCCCTTCAGGTATGCTCAGTTAGAACAGCCTCCCAGAGCCCAAACTCGTGGAACACTCCACAGTCCCTGGGCGTGGCATTCTGGCTTTGCTCAAGTGTAGCACAGTGCTCTTCCTATCTGTGCCACTGCCACTTCCTTTCAGAGTTAATTATTCACATCTTGCTTGGTAAGCTGAGCATCACCTCAGCGTGTCAGGAGGAATATTCTCATGTTCAGACTCCACTGAAGAACATCATGTGTTTGAGGAATCTGGCATTGCTTTCCATATGTAGTGATTGCTGCAGAATTTAAATAGAACAGGTCCCAAAACACAGATAGAATTGTTGTGTATTCACTATCTAAATACGCATTACAGATTTTAATCTCCTTCCTGAAGCCTTAAAAGCTGGTTTTTTAATGTGGTGACCACATGGCTGTGTACTGTTGGTTCTGAACTGTGCTGGTGCTGTCATTTACGTGTGTGGCTCTTACCTCGAAGACTCATTAGTTGGCAGGTACAGCTCACAGTGTTGCTTGGCCTTGTTAAAGCCTACTGATGTGTTTATGTGGGACAGAGAGGGTACACAGTTTCCACTCACACCACTCCTAGTTCTGATCTCTTTTTGCTTTCTTGCCTTAATGTGTGTTACAGAATATCTGTGCAGGTGATAAAAATAAAAAGCTGTGTAGCTCTTCAGTGTCACTGGAAAGTAGGATGCACCCTACTCAGGTGAGGCTGCATAGGAACAGGTAGATATCACCTAAAGGTAAATTGCACATGCATCTAAAAGAAAATTTCTGAAGAGAAAATTATTTTATATTGTCATGGGCTCCTGTCCCATTTTTAGAAACATATTTGAGAAACAAATGTGAGAAACATAACTGAAATGGAAACGTATCTTCACTGCAATACCTGGGTGTGAGACAGAGTGTGCCTTTTTTGAGCAAACTGACAGTCTTGGAGTAACTTGAATAAACTTTTCCTTATTTTTCCACTCCTAGAACTCTCGTATATACCTCCCCATCCCCCTTTTCTCCCCAGAGTGTCTTATAATCTGCTATTTAAGAACTGCTGCACTTCCCTTGTATTCTGTATCCCACTTTGGCCCAAGTAATAGGTAGAGACTAGAGACGTTCCCTTCATCATTAAATCTGTCTGCTGATGTCTTCATAAGGAACAGAGATGTCCAGTGTTGTACCATGGTAAGGCATGGAAGTGTCTTCCTTCACTTTCTATCAGCCTTCTTGATATTGCTCCAGTCACACTGTTCCAATTCTCTCTGCCATAGCATGTCCTCTGGACTGGTGTGCATGTGCTGTTCCCTGCCTGTACGTGCTTTTGGGATTCCCAGGGACTCAGTGTGTTTCTCGTGGTACTTGCATGAGAAAAAGACATCTGAGAAATGGCTCCAAATGCATTTCTCTTCTGCAGAGGCAGAGCCTGGGGCAGGGTTGGAAGCAGCTGTAACCCTGGCTCAGCAAGGTGCAGTGCAGCTCCTTTTCTGTAGGCATGCTATCCCAGCACAGTGAACTGGGCAGCTCCTGGTGCAAGGTATTAGTGTGTTATTATCACCATTTCTTCTGACACCCACACGTGAGCATTTACGTTGCCAGTGCATCAGAAAAGGTCATAGTAGCTTAAATAAATAACATTGGTATTTTGCAAACGAGCAATTAAGTTATGAAAGAAGCCTCTTTTCATATAGCTGCTGGCTTTGATCCTTCTCTGCATTATTTAAGCACTGAGGCTCCGGAGTGAATTCCTGGAGTCAGCCACAGAGTGCAGCTCTGCTGTGCTGCCATGTCACGGGATCCAGAGCAGGCCCAGGGCAGCCTTCGGGCTGGTGACGGTGGATTCTCCTCCTCCCTAGGCTGGAATTCCTCGGTTGTCTCTGCTCCCGTCTTTTCCCACACCATCTCTTTGGCACTAGTGTCCTCTGGTTCCTGGCACAAAAGCCTGTGGTTGCAGTGTGATGTGTGCCCTCTGCAGTGTGGCATTTCTGTCTGGAGTGGGTTTCCAAGGCTCTCAAAACACTTGCTGCCTTCCCTGCGCCTCCTTGTTCATGTCTCCGAGTCCGAAAACTGCCTGCACAAAGTGTTTGGCCTGAGGTAGGTGGCACTGTGTGTCACCACGGACAGGGCAGAGCTCAGCCTAGCCTCTGACACTGGAAAAGCCAATCCTCAAGGGGGAATGGCCCTTTATATTGCAGTTTATCACAAGGGGTTCTGGGAGCTAAAGAAGAATTCTTGTGAAATTTGGAATTATGTTCATTTTTTTAAAATAACATGAGTTAACATTTACTGTGAAGTTCTTTTTTGACTACAGACTGAACAAGGAAGGAAACAAAATATTTGAGTTCTCTCTAAGGCAGCTACTTTCTCTATGCCTTTTTCTTTTCTCTGTTTAATTCCCAATACCTCAGAGACCCAGTTTCCTCCCTTGGCAGGCACTGTGACCTTAAGAATAGCCAGCTCCAAAATAAACACAGAAAACCCCCATTTCAGTTGTTTCCAATACATTGTAAGTAACCAAACCCACATCCATGCTAAAGCTGAAATTCCCAGTCTGTTGGAGCTGCACCAAAAGGGGGCTGTTGTTGCTCGGAGGGTTGGCATTCCTTGTGTCCTGTTCACACTGCCTCTGTCCCCAGAGACGTTGTTACAGCTCAGAATGCCATTTGGGAGTAATTTGTCACTACTTCTACCACTCCTGCAAAATGTTTAGAGGGGACACTTTGTTTGGATGAGGGCCAAGCAGAGCACCAGACACCTAAGGAAGTGGTGATCCCAGGGTGCTTCCATGGAGGGACATCCCAGCTGCCTGGGCCAGCTGGAAGGAGTGGTTATTTATCAGACAGAAAGCTCCTTCTGTCACTTCTGGTTGCAGGATTCCACTCTCTGCCCCAGCTGCAGGAGGAAGGAGTCTGAATATAGTTGGAAATTCTTCATTTATTTAGAAAGACTATGCGTTACAGTGTTTTGAAGGCTCACAACAGGACTAAGAAACTTTTTTTGATTAGCATGGGCAGCTTGGTCCTTAGGTATAGGGGAAAGAGGAACAGTTGGAAAATGAACAGGGGGGGATAGCAAAAGAACATTTTGTTTACTCTTACATCCAAGATACAGCAGCATTTGGGAAGGTTTTCTTAATCCGTTGTGTTAGCCTGATCCACAGGAAACTCATTTTGAAATTAAATATACCAAAGTATTTATGATTTACAAAGAGGGAGAAGAAAACCTTAAAAGTATCTTGTGTTTGATCTATTTGTCGCTATGAAAATATTGACAAAAGGCAGAAGAATGGCCTTCGTTAAGCTTATTATTGTTGGCTTGTTTAAATGCTTTCTTAATAAGGCAGACTCCCATTAATATGTGAGATTATTTCTTCCATAGTTGTGAAGGAATAAAAGATGGAAATTTTGAACATCAGACTGTAAACAATGATTCTAAACTAGGTAATCTGTGATTCCTACTCAATAATATGTAGTGTGGCAGAGGGGGAAGCTTTTCAAAGTAAAAAACATACATGGAGTACTTTGTGCAGAAGTTTGTGTCCTTGCAATACTTGCATCGTGCATCATGATGCTTATTGTACTGAAACCCAGTTTAGAGAGAGGGGCTTGGATTGGTTTGCTATAGGGACACAGAAGGAAGTGAAGAGATGTAGGAGCTATGGGTAATAAAGCTTATAAAAGGCAGTAAAGGTGTGCTTGGAGTTGTGAACCAGAAATACCACTTGCCTGCAAAATTCATTTGGTGTGCAGGGTTATCTTTTTTCCTCCTTTGGCTTCTTTTTGTGCTGTATTATTTTGTATCTTTGGAGTTGTGGGGTGGATTTGTTTTTCTCAGGAACTAGCAGTATTTAAAATATAGGGGGACATTGCTTTATTAAAACAATTCTTTTAGTTGTCACGGCAACTGGTCTTACATAAATGATGAAGAAAGGAGGAGTGCATGTAGAGATACATTAGGTCATAACAGGGGATCCAGTACTTTTTAAACTAACAAAGGAGCACTCTGGGGTTTGTTGTTGCTGTGGCTCATTTTATCCAGATGATTTTTACAACTTTAGTATTCTCCAGGTTTGCAATCAAAAACTGCAGCCCTCGTGTGCTCACAGCTGTATCAATCCAAATTTCTTTTGTCTGTGCAACTATTAAGTTCCTCCATTAGGATATCTATTTGTCAAAAACAGGCACAGAACTAGATCATAAAACCCCAGATGTGATACTTAGTGATTCTCCCCAAAATATTTTTCTGCTCTTCCTTTCCCAAACTCCCCTGAGTCAGCCAGGCAGAAATGGCAGCATTAGGGAGAATGCTGCCGTGTGCCCAAGGTGATCTGGTTTATACAAATGGCTCCTTTCCCCACAGCTTTGCTCTGTTAAAGGATAACTGGAGACTTGAGGAGGCAGGGGTATTGTTCTAGGATCACCATATGTGATTTCCTGCATTTACACGTGACTAGGGAATAGTTCACCAAAGAAGTGGAACCCCAAAAACCAAAAGTGTGATGACAAAATTTACAATTCTTTCTCTTCTCTAGGGATTTAACAGTAGAATCAAAATTCTTTACTGCTCAAAAGGTTTGCTACACTTAAGAAAAAAAAATGTCAAAGAAACGTGCCATAATTAACATGCTTAGTCTTTTTATTCCCATTCCTCAATTTCTAAACCTTTTCCCCAATATTTGCTGGTTGGTTTTTAGTCCTCATGCTCATCTGTCTGTAATCATCTCGCTTTTCCTTTCCTACTTTACCTGTCTCTTTTTGCTGCTTACAGTCCTTTATTCGTTTCGTTTCCCAGTTGTTTCTCAGGTCACTGTCACCTTTTCCCCTACCACTGTATGTGCTGCATGTGGAT